AATTCAAAACCGGAAAAGAAGCTAAACCCAAAGGTGGAGGCTACTGTTTCCTTCATCGATTGATCTCTTTTGCTTTGCTTTCTTTCCTTCTCTCTCCAAGCCTGCTGTCAGTTTGCCTGAAAAAGTGAGGTTAGCAGTTAGCAGGCATTTACACTCAGTGCTGCTGTCATTTCTCTGAAATTATTGACTTCAGGATGATGTTTTCTTTCATTGCCTTCTTTGCTAGAGTCTTTTCTCCACAGTAGCAAGTGCACACCATGGTGTGTAATGCTCAGAGGAGCTGCTTTCGCTGCTCTTTGGAGGTTTTTGTGGTTTCAGTTTGATTACAAAGACTCTTGTAGCAAATGAATTGAACATGTTTTCTCTAGGTAGCCTTGTGCACCTTGCTCAGGGGTCCATGCTAAAAGCCAAATTCAGAGAGGGCATTGGTAATGAAGGAGTGTAAGCATGCATGAAGGGTCCCAAGAGGCATGATTTGGTGTAAATTAACTGGAATAAGGGGTAATTATGGATGCTAAGTCAGAACAGGGGTAAATGAGGGCCTAGTAGTGACTCTTATGCATAACCCCAAGTCTGGAGCAATGCATAGCTGCATCACCTGGCAGGAGTACGTCCATGGCCCTGCCCATTGGGAAAAAGGGCCACGTGCTTCCCTAGGTGGTAAGGCAACTCTACCACCAGGCTACAGTGTGGGGGCAGGGCAATGATGCTGCACCCTCCCTTCCTCTTTGGGATGACTTTTGACTCAGGAAGCACTAGCAGGAAGTGGTCCCTGTGCTGAGTAGAGTGTAGGGATTGCAACTGCAGCCTGCTCATACACAGGGGTTGCCAAAGGCAGGCTCTTTTCCACATGCTGACTAAGTTGCATCCCGTCCCAACTTCTGCTTTACATACCCACATGTGGGCTTAGTACAGTCCAGCTCTCACTCTATGTGAACATGACTAATAGCGTGTTGTTTCTTAGAAACACTATTCTATCTAGCTCCCAACCTACACTGTCCCTTCTGAGAGGATATAGCAGTTAGAATGCTCCGCAGGCATGCCTGGCAACCCATGTGGTATTGTGCATGGAATATTTCCTCTTTATTCTTCAGAATGGACATTCCTGTGTGCTGTATCCCACACATCAGTGGCATTAGTGACTTGTATATTTGCTATCAACATCTCACAGAACAATAGAACTGTCCCCTTCTCAAAATGTTCTGTCCTGCTCTAGTGCTTTCTGTCTACATGGCATGACAAGTATGAGAGAGAATGTGAGCAGCCAGGGCAGGGCCATTAGCAACAGATCAGAGTAGCTGGGAGAATGTGCAGGAAGGAATGTGGAGGGAAGGGATGAACTGCCCACACAGTGTCAAAAGGCAGCTAACGCCTCCAGCCTGCTACTAGCCACTGATATAACTCAGCCACCTCCTGTTCCCCAGCTACCATGTGGGCAGGAAGAGGTTAAGCACAAAGGATGCATTGTGAACCAGGGCCCCGGGCAGCTGACTGCAGGGGCTTCAGGAAACCCAACCAAAGGTGGCTCAGCAGGGGAAGGTGTCTAGGAGAAGGAGCAGTCCCATGCTCCCTGGGGGCAGAATCCAGCACAGGAAAAGGGGCAGGTGAAAAGGATCCTAAGCCTCCGCTCCCCCCCCCCCCACTCCAGAGCTTAGGTGAGGGGTGAGGAGGCTACCTCATACCAGTGCCATGCCAGGCTTTGGCATGCACAGGACTCAGCTCCTCCTGGCTAGCACCTCAGGCTAGAGACCTTGGGCTTTCCTAGGGCACCAGCCCAGCCAGGGGGAGAAAGGGAAAAAACTTATTAATCTACAAAAGTAAGTGCAAATTGGAAGCAAAACGTTATACTTGCCAGAAAATGGACACCTTTCATATGAGGCCTGGTCTACACTATGAGTTTAGGTTGAACTTAACTGCACTAGAATGGTTTTCTAAAACAGTGAGCCACCACCAAGCTCATTTCATCAACTTTAAGAGCTGTTAAAGTCTGTTTTGGTGAGCCTGCTTTTCTCAAGTAGTAACACTAAATTTAAGCTTGCTGGTCAGTGAAGATGCAGAACTGAGAAGGTCAATGTTGTTGGCCTCCAGGTGTCCCATCGTCCCCCACTGTGACTGCTCTGGCCAGGACTTTCAACACTACTGCTCTCCACATTCACAGGAAAAGCCCCAGAAAAATTTGAATTTTATTTCCCATGTGACCTGCGTGGCAAGCAGGCCTCAAAGCAGGCAGCACACCTGACCATGAATGCCCAGGGTCACAAGCGAGCACCAGCATGGAGTGTGCAGGCAATCTTGAACCTCCTTGCTGTGTGGGGAAGAGGGATCAGTGCAAGCAGAACTACAAAGCAGCAAAAGAATCACTCATATCTATGGCAAGATCGTACAGGGCACGATGGAGAAAGGATACTCCAGGGATGCTCAGCATGGCCATGTGAAAATAAAGGAGCTCAGGCAGATATACCAGAAGACAAAGGAAGCAACCAGAAGGTCTGGTCAGCACTGCAAAAATTCAGCTTCTATGAGCAGCTGCATGGGATCTTAGGGGGGCCCTGACCATTTTCCCAAGACAATCCATGAATTCCTCCCAAGACTCTCCTCTGGCAGCCTGGGGCAGCTGCATGGAGGACAGTATGGAGGAGGAAGGGGAGGATGAGGAAGAGAATTGTTAGCAGATGAGCAGAGCATCTAATCTCACTGGCAGCCAGCACCTTTGTATAACTTTAGAAACAATCCCCTACTCCTAGGACGTCTCATTGCCGGGCTCTGATGGTGGGCAGGACACTTCCAGTGAGTTCAAATTTGTAATCATGATACACGTGGGCTAAAGCAATTGGGCATGATCCTGTAATGGCCACTCTGCCTACACAGCAGGAGCTTACTGGAAGAGCTTGCTGATGTGTCTGGAGATGGAGACAGAATCCTCCATGCACATCTCCATAAAGCTCTTACGGAGGTACTCTTTCATCCTTCTCACAGGGTTTCTGGGGAGGCCGGCCTTATTCCGGCTGCCACAGTAAGACACCTTCTCAACCGCAACATCTTTGTTGCTTGTGTTGAATGGCAGGAAGGGGTTTATAGGCAAGCACACCTAATGCAGGGGGCACCTTATTAAGAGCAACACGCATGACTGTCATATCGCTGTCTGGCCATTCACAAAGCTGTTTTTCAAAGCCTCTCTGATTTGCAGTGCCTCACAGTGTGCTCGCCTTACTGCCCTGTTGTCTGGCTGCTCATAATTCCTGGCTGGTCCAATGCTGGTGTAAAACTTTCTCCCTTGCTTTCACAGATATTATGGAGAACACAGCAGGCTGCCACAACAATGAGAATGTTGCTTTCACCGAGGTCTAACCAAGTCAATAAACAGAGAAACTTTCTCTTAAATGTCCAAAAGCTCATTCTGCCACCATTCTTCACTCGCTCAGCCTTTGTTGAACTGCTCCTTGCCGGGGTCCAGGCTGACTTTGTACGGCTTCATGGGCCACCGAAGCAAGGGATAGGCTGGGTCTCCAAGAAACACTACTGGCATTTCAATGCCTCCAATGGTAATTTTTTGGTTTGGGAAGAAAGTTCCATTTTGCACCTTTCTGAAGAGACCAGAGTTCCTAAAGATACGTACATCATGCATCTTTCCTGACCATCCTACATTTATGTTAGTGAAATGGCCCTTCTGATCCACCAGTGCCTGCAATACCATCAAGATGTACCCAGGGGCAGCCCGTCCATATAGGCAAACTAGGCGGTCACCTAGGGTGTCAAGTTAAATGGGGTGCCAAATGGTGGCGCAATATCATTGAGGGGATTGGAGGTGGGGGCACCAATTGCATGGTTCGCCTAGGGTGCCAGTTGCTGGCAGATCGTCTAGGGTCACCCCTGGATATACCCCTTCAGTTTATGTACTCTTTGGTAAGGTGGTCAGTTGCCAACATAGGGATGTGAATACCATCTATTGCCTCACCACAGCATGGAAAACTCATCACTGCAAAGCTCTCTACTATGTCCTCCACATTTCCCAGAGTCATTACCCTTTGTCACAGAAGTGTATTGATTGCCTTGGCTACCTGGATCACAGCAGCCCCCACTCCAAATTGATTCCCAACTGACCTGTAGGTGTGTGGCATTACTAGTTTCTACAGGGCTATTGTCACACACTTCTCAACGGTCAGAGTGGGTCTCTTTCTGGTATTCCTGTGCTTCTGGGTGGGGGAAAGCAATTTGCAAACTTCCAATGACAGTGGCCTTATGCATGTGAAAAGTTTTGCTGCCACTGCTGATCATCCCATGGCTGCAAGCACCACACTAGGTGATGTTTCACTATATGTATATAGAACACTTAATATAGTATATCCTTTATCGTGGTGGGAGGCATCAAATACTAGTTATTTTCAACCAAAAACAATGTTCAAGCTGACCAAGACACTGTGTACGTGATCAACATACCAGCATGAATGCAGTTTTTGGCACATAGTATTGTTAACGTGATATTTCAAATGTTCATTCCATACTGTGATTTTATCTCCTACTGCCTGAAAACTTCATTTATGGGCCAAGTTCTAGACAAGAGCCAGAGCATAACAGCCTAAATGGGAACATTATGAAAAATGCAGGGAAAGGATTATTTAAGGGACAATGATTGTTTAAATCATACCTTTGTACTACAGTGCATGATCCATTGCATGCATAGTCCTTGCACACTTATCTGCCATTGGGCCTAGTTTGCTTCTCATTTCTCCAAATTTATGATGGTGAAACACCAAATTACTTCACTTACAGTAGCAGGAATTGAGTGGTATCGGCAGTGGAATGTAGGTTGGTATTACTGTCAGTAGAATTTGGCTTCTCGCTGTGCAGACACACATCTACCTCTGAGCCCAGGCACTATATTATTCCATCCAATTCCACAGCTTGGCCTAGCTCACTGAAACTTCTTTATAGGGATAGTCACCTGGGCTGTGTCTAGACTGGCCAGTTTTTCCGGAAAATCAGCTGCTTTTCTGGAAAAACTTGCCAGCTGTCTACACTGGCTGCTTGAATTTCCACAAAAGCACTGACTTCCTACTGTAAGCAATCAGTGCTTTTTGCGGAAATACTATGCTGCTCCAGTTCGGGCAAAAGTCCCTTTTGCACAAAACTTTTGCGCCAAAGGGCCAGTGTAGACAGCTGAAATTTGTTTTGCGCAAAAAAGCCCAGATCGCGAAAATGGCGATCGGGGCTTTTTTGCGGAAAAGCGTGTCTACATTGGCCCCGGACGCTTTTCCGCAAAAAGTGCTTTTGAAGAAAAGCGTCCGTGCCAGTCTAGATGCTCTTTTCTGAAAATGCTTTTAACGGAAAACTTTTCCGTTAAAAGCATTTCCGGAAAATCATGCCAGTCTAGACGTAGCCCTGTTGTTCCTTGAGTACCATCATATCCCTCTCTCTAGTTTACCTTATCCCCCCTTATATCCATTGGAAACATTGCTACCATCATTATCTGCTGACCTAGCTCCTTGTCTATGCGTGGTCCACACCTCAACTTGGCATCCCTACATTGGCTTCCCATCACAAGCTTCTTGTCTGTGCCTTTATGGACCCTTACCACTTAACACCAATTAGATCTCTCTTGTCACATTACTGACTCCTGCCTTCACTCTATCACTGATGCTACTCAATTCCTGCTAGTCCACTTGTCTTACAAGACCTTTTCAGCTCTACCCATCTTCCATGTTGCTCCTAAGCCACAGTGAAAGACACTCCCCCATCAGAATCCAGTATCACCGTATTATCCTATTTCAAAACCCTACTTAAGAACTCTCCACTCTCATGGAAACTAACAAATCACTGCTGCTGATCATGACTAGGCATGTGATGAGCCCAACTACTGCGTACTATGCATGTTGCAGCTGTGTGAAGGAACACAATCTCATTGGCTGAAGAAGCTGGAAGGAGACTACAGAAGAAGAAGAGCAGATCTAGTGATTAAGAGTCTAGACTGGAATCGGGAGAGCTAGGGTTATCCCTGGCTCTATTGCAAATTTCCAATGTGCTGTGGGACACCTCACTTACTCCAGAACTTTGAAACGAGAGTCAGAAGCCCATAGCAATTGAGCATTTAGGATGTTGTAGCAATAGCTGGATTATGATGACAGCATAGTGCAGAACTTGTGACATCAGCATGGCAGTTAGCACAAATCTGGGTTTGAATTTTGTGCATCTATCTGGTTTGAACTAGGGCAGCTGGTGTTGAGTTTTCTGAATGGGACAGTGAAAGACTTATAAAACAGTAGCTACTGCCTGTGAATCCAGCATTGTCCAGACTCATTTCTGTCTCCCCTAGCTTTGTGACTAAGCCGTCTATGGTAAGAATAAGTTTTCTTTGTTTTCTTATTCAGGGAAGTGTTTTTCATTTTCTGTCTACATCCATTTCATTCAAAAGTCTTGTACATGCTTCTCATATACTTTACATAAATAAATATTGTGGCTTTCCATAAGACTTCAGGGCAGATCTGTCAATGGCATGGTCTCTACATACCTCTTGGGTCTGCTAACCCTAACTCAGCCCATCCTGCTGCTGTTTAGCTTATTGCCAGTACCAAGACAGGAATGTGTCATCCTCATTGGCTGATTTTGGTATCTCATATTTATGAACTGACAAAGTTAGTATAGAGCAGTGTTCCCTGTAAGCTAAGTGCTTGGGCAACCATTCAGGAGAGGTTCAGGTGCTGCCCAGATGAATAGCAGCACACCCACAGCTGACAGCATGTGTTTCTACTGGTGGTACACATCTGCACATACCTCAGTGCATGTAACAAAATTTATTTTGCACATGGATGGGAAAAAGAGGGAACAATTATTCAGAACAGCAAATAATTTCTCTCTTGGCCAGATACACAGAAAATGGTAGCATGATCTAAGGGGTTCTAATTTCATATCTGCTCAAACACCATCCACTAGACTGGAATCAGAGATAGATTTTTTCCCTGTGTTTTTCCCGTACTCACTTTCCAACTGCAGCTGAAGTCTTCCTTATGTCAAAGTGAGTGAGTTTTAATCAGATCAAAAGTTATGTCAAAGTGAGTTTTAATCAGATCAAAGCCCTGAACTGTGGGGAAAGTGTTAGGTCACATCTACTCAGATGTGCGTAGGGGAGGGTTAGAAGAGGGGAGTGTAATGATTTCATTTGAAGTTGGGGAAAAGGAGGGGCAAGAAGGGTAAGACCGAGCATATAGAACTATGAAAAGTCAGGGGGACAAATCTTCAGGGGAGCAGCTGCCCTCCTCACCCCATAGTAAGTGGTGCTCCTGCTTTTTACCACACTATAAGTAAAGCCTATAACTTTGTTGTAGTTGACACAGGACTTCAATATTGAAGTGCAGTAGATTTCTGTATATACTTGGTCTGCTAGGATGTATGTGCCCCAGCTGAGCTAGCTGAAGAACACTTCTTTTACCAGAAGATTGTTTAAATAAGTTGCATCAATTAAATAGGAGTGGATGATTTTCACTGATCTATACTAGGACACAGCTGAAAATACGCCAGAAGTCAATGACGATGGGACAGAGCCACCAGACATTAGGAACCAGGGCCTGCACATGGAGACAAATTCACTAGAAGAACTGGATTATCTGCAACCAGAACATGTTACCAATGATGGTGAGATCAACACGTGGGTGGAAATGGAGCAGCCAAACTTCAGGACAGCCCGAGCAGCTGAGATTGAGCTGGAGAAGATGCGACTGGATATGGAGTTGATTGTGCTGAAATACCACTATGAGGAAAAGGAAAAGCAGCGGCAGCACAAAGAGAAGATGAAGCAATTGTGTCTGCAAACACCATCTGGACACGTAAGTACAGGCGAAAGCATAAACCGGGGAGGCATGCATGACCCAGATGTGCTCTCTCCCCGTGGTCCCAGTCTCAATTTTAAAACATATCTAAATCTCCACAAAGGTTGATTTCTTTAAGAAAGTTTCCATTCAGTCAGAATCAAACCCAAGATTGTGAACTCGTATCAGGATCTTAACTCCAGAGATTTAATTTTTCTCCAAGGTGTTAATTTCTACCATTACTTGTACTTGTTACAGGTTTGCCTGCCAGATAGAGAGTGGGTAAGAGTGGATTCCCTCTCACCCATACAGATACATTGCTGCCACAATTTTCCTCACTGTTCGGATAGCTTTGCCCTCAAATTTCTTCCCTTCAAGAGGAAGGGAAGATTAAAACAAACAATACAGAAAAGAAGTCCAGCAGAATTGCACTCCTCCAACACCTAGCTTTCTCCTGAAGAACCAGGCACTTTTCTTCCCTTCACCCTCTGCCAAAAACTCAGACCCTGAGATTTGGGAATAAAGGAAGCAGGACTCGTTATACAAGCCTCTCTTCACAGCCCCCTGAACTCCTTTTGCATTGGTGAAAGTTAGCTTCTGCAGCCAGCCCCTTCTCAGAATTCCTCACCAGAATCAGACTCCCCATTCCTCTGGGCTTCAAGTCCCAGAATTTCCATGGTTTGATCAAAAACACAGAGTAGTACAGAATTTGGACTTTACTGTAAGTGGCCAGCATACTTTGTGGTAAGGGGATACAAATTCCTAGAAGGGATCCAAAGGAGCCCTTGTGACTAGAACAGATTTTGAGGGTGTGTTTTAAAGAATTAGAGGGTGGTTAGAGGACCAGATCCTAGGTGTAGCAAAGTAAACAGGTGTAGGGGTTGATGTGAACAGCAAGTGCAATCTTCTTTGAAAAAATAATGAGAAATGAGATCTAAAAGAACAGACCAGATAGCAATTCACTTGAAGGGAAACCCAATTAACTCGGAACTTAAGACTCATTGTATCCAAACTAAGGGCTGCAGATGGGGAAAGAAGGTGCTGAGTTGTTCCAAAGGAGCAAGTGTTGCTATCAGATCTGCTGTCAGATCAGAGCTACCTGATGGACAACCATTCAAACTGTCCCCTTTCAGCAGCTCACATTGAGCAGGTACTGGTAAATGGTAAGATGCAGCTTCAGATTTAAGTTGTAGCAGATAACTTTGTGCTGTACAAAGATTCACCAGTCAAATCCAGTGTCACATGAAGGCATTAGAGATCATGAAATAGCTTTCCTGATGACTCAGATATTTCTCAGGTGGGAAAAGGGAAAATGAGTTCATGGTAGTAGTGGGGTAGAGGAGTAACCTGTATGTATGTTATTGAGAATTACTTTAATACTAGCTACATCATGAACATGTGCAGTTTCTCAAAGTCCATTCAGTAATCAGGGACTGGAAGAAAAAGGTCTGACCTAATTCAGCTTTTGAGTAAATAAAATGCACCTGCTTACACCAAACCTGAATATGGATAGGGGTCCTCAATATAAAAAATTTCAGAGAGGTAGCTGAGTTAGTCTGTACAGGATAAACTTAAAAAACAACAAATAGTCTGAAGAAGTGGTCTGTGCCCACGAAAGCTCATGATACAATCTACATGTTTTGTTAGTCTTTAAAGTGCTACCAGTATAAAAAATGTTAGAGAGAGAAGTAACTGTTGGAACACCTGTGTTAGGACATAATCAGCTGCCAGGTATGTAACTTGGCATCTATCTTTGGGGAAAAAGCATAGAGGTACCAGGTACCTTGTGCTTACCAGAAGTGGTGGAAAGCTGTTCTGGGAGATTGGGCTCACAGACCAAGAGAACTTCTGCTGTTATATATGTATATCTTGGTTTCTATTTTTTCCACTCCAATTCATCTGATGAAGTGGGCTTTACCCACAAAAGCCCAGGAACACTAATTTTTCTTTGACCTGGTTATCCAGGGATTAATAGAATGTTTTCAACCTGCTGTTTATAAAGAATGTTCAGACTATTACTGAGATGCCCAAACTAGAGAGATGAGAATGCAGCCACTATTGAGTCCAGATCCTACAATAGTAGAACAGCCTTTTCCACAGTCATAGCTAAGTATGACACGAGTATATGACAATCAGCATAGCCCAATTGCTTCCACAGCTCAATCTAATTAATCTGGATTTTCAAATAAAATTGTGCTGGTCTTAGTTTGTCACTAATATGATCCATGGTCTAGTCACAAAAGCAAGGGATTTGCTAAGTAGAGGAGTCTTTTGACAAGGCAAATATGAAATATGGGCCTGCAATGTCATGTTTCTGCCCCTTTGTCCACAGCCTGCCGAAGGATGCCAGGACCTTCTCATGCCCCAAAACCAGTTTGCTTTGTTCCTGTATTGCTTCATCTTCATACATGTTATCTACACAGCAAAGGAACTATTGCTCTTCTTCGTTAAGAAGCATCACCTATTCATCATTGCAGTTACCCTGTTATATTTAATTAAAAAGCTCTGGGACTATTTGTGTGCTCTGTTCTTTCTCTGTAAGGTCTACATTGGTTGAAGCCTCTGTCTGGTATTGATACTGTTTTGATGGTCAGGTGATAGGCATCATATATAAGGATTAGAGAAGTGTTACATGAAGCCAAGTTTTCAAAAGTAGCTGCTGATTTTTTTAATTACTTCAGTGTTTGTTTTGACTTCTCCCATGACCTGTCACTGCTGTTAATGAGATCATTGTTGGCCAGTTGTGCAGAACTGTCCCTCTAATCCAGCATGGTAAGAATATAGACATGCTGATGATTAGGTTATTAGATTGCCCTCCTGGGAGTTAATTCAGCACTGTTCTATACAGTATGTTCTCCAGTACTTTGTCCAGTTGCAATTTAAATGTTCCAAGGAAAGAGGCCTGCATTTTCTCTGAGAAGTTAGTCCACAGTGTAACACCTCTAACCATTGTGAATTTCTCCTGGCTTTTCCATTTCACAGTTTCATGCCTTTATTTCTAATTACACTGCAGGGCTCAAAGTACACCACTACAAAAGGTAAAAGAAGTCACTAGGCTGAAAAGGGTGTCAGGAACATTCAGTGGAGATGGGTTAGAGAGAAAGCTAATAGGACAAGGAAGGAAGGACACAAGTTTCCATTTCAAGCCCTGATGTCTTGTTGGGAAGCAGTGTACTGGTAGTACCATCAACTTAGTCTTCCTTTGCTTTTGTCAAAATGTCCAAAATTGAAACAAATTTTAATTTTGACTTTTTGATTTACTAAAAATTTCAGAAAATTTCAGTCAGTTCAACCTGAAACATTTTTTCTATTTTTCAGATTCAATTGAAATTCCATTTTAGTTCAATTGCTGGTGAACTAATACAGCTGTTATTCCCCCAGTTCTAGTGCAGAAAGTGCACCCCATTCACCCCAGGGTATCTCTAGCCCTACCCTCTTTCTGCTCCCTTTCATGAGCGTAAGGCCAGCAGCAAGCAATCATGGAGTAATACTAATACTACCAATCCAGACCATGCTTGATGCCTGTCAGGCAGACACGGGGCCTTCACATGTTTACTTTGTAATGAAAGAGGTACCTAGGCTCAAGCCATTTTTTTTAACTTTCATAACTGACATGGTAGAGCCATGGGCCTAGAAGCCCAGGACTCAGTCCAGGCAAAGATTAAGCACTGACTTCTTGTACCTTTGATCATGGCTTGACTCAATCTATCCTTCAGGGGGAGTCATACAAAAAATCAAAATGTTGATAGATACAAACTAAGACAGGATAAGACAATTTTCCCCCAACATGCACATGTAATGGCTTCCACCAGGGACACCGCCCCGCAGATTGAATCAGAAACTGCCAGAGTAGAAAGCATGAACCTCTACAGCCTGATGGCCAGGCTCGCAGATGGAGAATTACTGCACAGATGGAGATTCATAATCTCACACACTGATCAGTAGCTTTCAATGTCTACTACCTTTCGGCAGAGCTCAGACCCCATGTCAGAGGCCCATTCCTGTTAGGATTCAAATAAATCCCTATTTATACAGCTGCTATTTCAGCCATTGTAGGGCATTGAATAAGGAACCTGCCCTATCAGCACAATCTGTAGCAACTTGGGTTTTCAAGGAGCCTACCTTTAAAGCTAGGGGTTATAGCAGAGTCCTATCCTGGGTGGATAGGACACCCTGGGAGACACCACACATTCTCCAGGGTGATAAACACACTCAAACCTGTGCTTGCACTTGCCCTTGCCCTGTCTTACTTGCCTTGCTGTCTCATATACAGCCTTTCAGTCCAAAAGCAAGACACAGTATCTCTCCAGCTTCTTCATATCAGTGACTCAGCATGATGCCACACACTTTCCTTTTAGGGCCTACAGTACACTTACAGGAAAGCATACTGTTATGAGAGCATTGAGGCAGTGGCCAGGAGAAAATAAACTTTGACATGATATATCTGCGCTCATTACATTTATTAGCACCAAATTGTCTACTGCGCTCATCAGTCTAGTCTTTTTGCTGACTGACTCCATCCTCATGTGTTTGCCACCTCACCAATTTTAGTGTCATTTCAAAATGTGGTCATATAAGATTCTACACAAAATGCACACCTGACAAAGGCAGCCTGAAGCAGCCCTATCTGTGTAATGGAGTTCTGCTTCAGCCCTGGCTGATCATTGTGACTGAAGCAGCTCCATGCAGCACCTGGACATTCCCCACATTCCACTGTGTAAGAACCAGTCACCCTCTGAGTGAAAACACATTATCTTACCCTCTAGAAGCCTTGCTTAGTCCCTTGGCTTGCGCACTGGTATGGACTGGGGACTGATTTGTTAACTTGTAGTAATTCTCTGGGGCTACAGTTCTCTGGTAACCTCTTGAATACTTAAAGACAGGCATGTTACCCTTGATCCAGTGGAAGGGAAAGGAATCTGTTGGGTCCTACAGGGAAGTGTATCTATCTCAAAACAGAAGTACCTCAAACGTAACAGTCCTTGGTGTTTTCATTTATCCCCAAACAATGAAAAGGCAAATTTGAGCTGAGGGCAATCCCCTTGTCTTACCTAATAAATGTAAAGGATCTTGAATTAGCAGGGAGAGCAGATAGGTCTTTGATTGTAAAAGAATCCACAGACAGAGAGCTCTCTAGAACTCAGTTCCTCTCTCTCAGAAGGGTAAAGGATTGGAATGACCTTGCCCGGATTTAAACAAGTGAATTTGTGTACATGTATTTTAAAAAAAACCTCACAGTCAAGAGAATGTTAAATGTTTGAAAGCAAGAGGAAGCTGGAGCAGAAGCTGTAATTACTAAATCAAATGGCAGCATATCAATCAATCAATCAATCAATCCAAAAAACCTGCCCATACTAGCTTCTCATCATGATGCCACAGGACATAAGTGCATTGCCCAATTTCCTACATATCTGAAGATAAAAATAATTCATTTCCATAATTTCTCCTCATTTGCCAAAGACAAGCTATTGGTCTATCTAGCCATCCATATACATTTCTAACATATACATTGCCACACTGCATAGGTACTATGGATTAGATCATCAGAGATGGCTAAGATTCAATTGGGGCAGGGCCACACTTAAAATGCCACTGCAGCGCAGCTGCACTAGTGCAAGTGCACTGCTATAGTGCCCCAGTGAAGATGCTGACATGAGAGCTTCGCCTGTTGAGGTATTTAAACCATCTCCCTAAGATAGGAGAAGCCTTTGCGTTGTCATAGCAATGAAGTAGTTATACTGATGCAAGTTTGTATTGTAGAAAAGGCCTTGGTGCAGCTGGAGTGGATTGTGGGAGATGGTTCTATACCATCTTTGCTTTCTCCAACTAATGGAACCAACAAGGGGCCAGTTTGGTTCCCTGACCTAATTAGTGGGCAGGCTCAGAGCTGTCCTAAGCTATACACAGCTATTTAGACCCAGGTGACAATTCTGTGTACATGAAGGACTATCAGGGTACGTCTAGACTACACGCCTTTTTCGACAGAGGCTTTTTCGAAAGTATCTTTTGAAAAAGCCTCTGTCCAAAAAGAGCATCTAGATTGCATGACAGATCGAAAAATCAATCCACTTTTTCCAGACTGCCAGATGCTCTTTTGAAAAAAAAAAAAGGCCCCAGGAAGTGCTTCTGGCAGGGCATGGGGGCAGCCTTTATTTCCAGGTTCTGCTGCATGCCCTTTGCAGAGACGCGTGCTTAAAGGGATCCCGCTGCACAGCCATTGCTCTGCTCCTGCGTCTGGCTTGCCTACCTCCTGGAGGGAAAGCAAAGCTGCTGCAGTGCTTGCTCTGGTTGCCCTGCTTCCTCGGATACCACAGCAGTTTATCTTCAGGGGTTTTTTCTGCTTCTCACTGTGTTTTTGGAGCCTGAGCTGCCTGTGGACAGGTGATGGCTCCACACTGTGATGCTGGAAATTCTGCTGCATCTTCATGAGACCATCATGATTTTTGTAGCTGGATTCAGAGCCCAGCTTTGAGCCCCTCACTTGGGCTGCAGCCCCACTGCCCTTGCCACCAAACTTATTCCTGCAGAGGCGAGTTTGGAGGCTGGACACCAATTCAGACTGGTGGGACTGGCTTGTTATGGAGTAGTAGGACGACGAGGCTTGGCTTAGAAACTTCCGTATGTGGAAGTCCACCTTCCAGGAGCTGTGTGCCTGGCTCGCCCCTGCCCTACAATGCCAGGACACCCACTTGCAGCCCGTCATCCCCTCTGGAGAAGCGGGTCGCTATTGCCCTCCGGAAGCTGGCCACCCCCAACAGCTACCACTCCATGGGACACCAGTTTGGTGTGGGGAGGTCTTGATGGAGGTAAGCTACTCACTGGGGACAGTCCATGGGGGGGGGCAGATAAAGGGAGCAGTCAGGACCGGGCAGAGGAAATGGGGGATGGGTGTGGCAGTGGTAGAAGTCCTCCTGGCTTCACCCTGCCATGGTGCAGGGAGACAGGGATGGGGAGTTCCCTGAGGGGGGATCTTGGGATCTGGAAGGGGTGGGGAGGGGTAGGGAAGCACCTGTCATCAGCTCACGCAACTCCTCTAATGTCCTGTTATGTGTGTTTCTATTTGTCCCTTTCTGCAGGTGGTGACAGCCATCAATTCAGAGTTGATTCACAGGACTGTCTGCCTCAGAGACCTGGATACCATCATGGCCGGATTTGCAGGAATAGGATTTCTGAACTACGGTGGAGCACTCGACAGGACGCACATCCCAATCCGTGCACCACCCCATCGAGCAGCCGAGTATATTAACAGAAAGGGCTATTTTTCTATGATGCTGTAAGCCCTGGTTGACCACTGGGGACAATTCACAGACATTTGTGTCAGGTGGTCAGGCCGGGCACACGATGCCCGCATCTTCCGGAACTCATACCTGTACCGTAGGCTGCAGGCTGGGACATTCTTTCTGGAGCGAAACTTTGTAGTGGGGGATGTGCAGATGTTTACGTGCATAGTGGCCGATGCGGCATAGCCCCTTATGTCCTGGCTCATGAAGCCATTCACTGGACACCTGGATGCGAGCAGGGAACTCCTTAACTCCCACCTGAATCGGGCTTGCTACCAGGTGGAGTGCGCCT